GTTCGGGTCCGGTGAGGTTTTGGAATGAATTGGAACACTTAGTTCCAAGGTTTAAAGCTTAAGTTAAAATAGTAATCGGATGTTGACTTATGTGTAAACGACTCCGGAATGGAGTTTTGATGATTCCAATAATTCCGTATAGTGATTTTAGACTTAGGAGCGTATCCGGAAAATTATTTGGAAGTCCGTAGTGGAATTTGGCTTGAAATGGCAAAAATTAAATTTTTGGGAAGTTTGACCGGGAAGTTGACTTTTTGATATCGGGATCAGAATCCAATTCTGAAAATTTGTATATGTCCGTTATGTCATTTATGAATTGTTTGAAAAAATTTGAGGTCAATCGGACGTGATTTGATAGGTTTCGGCATTTAATATAGAAGTTGGAATTTCTTAGTTTCATTAAGCTTGAATTGGGGTATGATTTGTGGTTCTAGCATTGTTTGATGTAATTTGAAGTTTCGACTAAGTTCGTATGATATTTTAAGACTTGTTGGTATGATTTGACGGGTTCCGAGGGACTTGGGTGTATTTTTGGATCATTGGTTTAGAGACTAGTAAAGTTAAGAAATTTGGGAGTTTGACAATGGTCAATATCGGGTCAAGACTGCTTCCTTTCAGTGTTTTGAGTGTGCGAGCAGGTCCGTAACATGTTTTATGATTGAAATTCATACGTGGTTTGTGTCCGGAAGGTTCCGGATGAGTTTCAGGGTGGTTTCGGATTATTTCGGAGAAGTTTGAGTTTGCTGGTTTCTGGTGAGGTACTGTTCATTCGCAATTGTAAACCATTTATGGCAATTGCAAAAACACTGTTCATTCATAATTGCGAACTATTTATGACAATTGCGAAAACACTGTTCATTCGCAATTGCAAACCATTTATGGCAATTGCAAAAACACTGTTCATGGGAGGTATTGTTCATTCGCAAATACGAAGTTTTTGTCCACAAATGCGAACCTGGGCAGAAACTTAAGGATTGAAAATCTGTCATTTCTTCATTTTCGATTGGGATTTTTGGAGCTCGGTTTTTGGGCAATTTTGAGGATTTCTTCACGACTTCGACTGGGATAAGTGTTCTATATCCTAAAGTGATTGTATTTCATGAATCTATGGTTATATTCATCGTTTAATTCGGATTTAAATGAAAGAAATCAAGATTTTTGAAAAATCTTCCAAAAACGAAAATTCCAGATTTGGAGGACGATTTGTTGTTGGAATTGGATAAAATTGGTATGGTTGAACTCGTATCGAAATAGATGTTCGGATTTTGTGAAAATTATGTCGGGTTCCGAGAGGTGGGCCCCGCGTTGACATTTTGGAATAAATTTTTAAGTCGACGTATTATTATCCGAAATTATTTTCGATGAATTTTAATAAAGTTGTACAATTAATTTGGATAGATTTGAGCTATCCGGAGGTAAATTCAAGAAAGAAGGTGATTTTGGAATATCGGCATAACTCCAAAAAGGTAAGTATCTTGTCTAGCCTTGAGTGAGGGAATTATCTCTTAGGCATCGAGTCTTATGTGCCATTTGTGAAATGTGAAAAGATGTGTACGCGAGGTGACGAGTACGTACTCGGGCTTATATGTACAAATTTTATTGGGTTAAAATCTTAGACATTATTGTGTAGTAAATTAGATAATTGTTGGCATTTATTAAATCATCTATTTACCATGCCTCAATCCTTGTTTGTTGAATTTATTTTTATATGACAATTTGATGTTAATGTTACTTGAATATTTATGTAAATTCCGTGAGTTTGGTGATTTGATATTTCCTGGAAATAATTATATTATGGATTTTTCATCTGCAAATAATTAATGAAATAAGTTTAAAATGAGGCGTTATATAATTATCAAGAATTTGGATTAATGAAGGTGTTGCCCTATACTGAGTATTTTCCATCTTTATTGTTATTTTGAGGTGTTATACACATTGTGTGGAGCCTTGGGCTATTTATTGTGAAATTAATTAATTTTATTATATCTTTGGAATTGATTGTGGCCATTGGGCAAATAGTGATATGAATTGATTTTGTTATGTTGTCGTGATACTATTTCGTGTAAATTGTTGTGTTATTTGAGTTATTATTTTGAGGATATAAGGGTGGCATTTCACTGTTGATACTATGTGGGTATAAGGGTGGCATTTCATTGTTGATATTATGTGGGTATAAGGGTGACATTTCACTGTTGTTATGTGTGTTGGGATATTGTCTGAGCGGAGCGATAAGGGTGGCTATATGAGCGATAAGGGTGGCTATTGATATTGTGAGGGTGGAGGGATAAGGGAGGCTATTATAGGAGTGATAAGGGTGGCTATTGATATTGTGAGGGTGGAGGGATAAGGGAGGCTATTATAGGAGTGATAAGGGTGGCTATAGGAGAGATAAGGATGGCTATTGTCATGGATGATATGTGATGATGTGGAGTTATTGTGTTGGTAATTTTCATGTGATGTTGGGGTATTCTTTGTGTTTATTTTTATATCTTGTGCAACTTATCTTGTTATTTCGGTACACTTGATAATAACCTGATTTATGTTGAAATTGTGAGCCTGTAGCTATTGTCGGGCAGGTAATATTATATGGGATCGGGTTGCACGCCGCAACGGATATGAAACGTGGACACGAGGTGCCGGAAAAAATATGATGGTTTTATTATTGGCACATGAACTGTCCGTGCAGCTGTGATATGAAAAGTGGGCACGAAGTGCCGGAAAAAAATGATGATTTAATTATGGGCACGAAGTGCTGTGAAAATATGAAAGTGGGCTGAGACCCGTATTTACGAAAAATATAAAAATGGGCTGAGACCCGTATTTTTATGATTATGAAATGGGGTGTCACATGGTGACTTTTAATTGAAAGAATTATATTCAAAATATTTATTTGAAAGAATTTTTATTCAAAAAGTATTATTTGAAAGGATTATATTTGAAGGATATTTATTTGAGAAAATTATATTTGAAAGAATTATATTTGAAGGATATTTATTTGAAGAAATTAAATTTGAAAGAGATTTATTGATAGAGTTATATGTGAAAGATATTTATTTGAAGAACTTGATTTAATTGGGTGTACTTGTATTTATTATTTGTAGAGCGATATTAATGATATTCTTGTTGCCCTGCTGTGCATATCACTGGTTGATTTGTGTTGCCCTTATTGTTATTTGTTTCTTATTATTTTGTATACTATATTGCACAGGTTATTAGACTAGTGAGTGTCTTGATTGTACCTCATCACTACTCCACTGAGGTTAGTCTTGATACTTACTGGGTACCGACTGTGGTGTACTCATACTACACTTTTGTATATTTTTGTGCAGAGCCAGGTATTGAAGATATCGGACTCGGACGAAGTTAAAGGGTGATCTCAAGGACTTAAGGTAGAGATGCTTGATCGTCGCAATCCCTTGGAGCCCTTCTATTTCTATTGTATTGTTAATTTCTTATTCGAACAGTATTGTATATTCAGTCCTCGTGATCATTCTATGTATTCAGTTAGAGTTCGTGACTCAGTATCACCAGTCTAGGGAGGTTTTCATAATTGTTTCCACTGTTGGTTTTGATTACCTATTTAATTCATATTCAAAAAAATAGCTTGAAATGTAATTTTAATCGACTTACCTAGTCTTAGAGATTAAGTGTCATCACGACGCCTGTGGTGGAATTTTGGGTCGTGACAGAGATCACTCGATATAAATAAAGATCCATTCCGACCTCATGAAAATAATGAAGAGCTTCTTGGTCTCGAAGTACCATATCTTAGTGCAATTGGTGCACTAATGTATCTTCTAACATTACAAGGTCCGACATAACTTTTTCAGTTAATGTCTTAACAAGATATAGCTCTGCTCCTACAAGGAGACATTGGAATGGAATCAAACACATATTGCGGTATCTAAAAGGGACTACCAATATGGGATTATTGTATGGAAATGATTGCAATCCCGATCTTGTTAGTTATGCCGATGCTGGGTATTTATCTGACCCACACAAGGCTCGATCTCAAACAGGCTATGTGTTTACATATGGAGGCACTGCCATATCTTGGCGATCGACTAAGCAATCAATCGGGGCTACTTCATCTAATCATGCTGAGATAATTGTTATTCATGAAGCAAGTCGAGAATGTGTATGGTTGAGATCTATAATACACCTTATTCAAGACAAATGTGGTTTGAAGTGTGACAAATCACCCACAATTTTGTATGAAGACAATGTAGCATGCATAGCCCAATTGAATGCAGGATTCATAAAAGGGGATAGGACAAAGCACATTTCACCAAAGTTATTTTTCATACATGATCTTCAAAAGAATGGTGATATCAATGTGCAACAGATCTGTTCAAGTGATAATATGGCCGATTTATTCACCAAATCTCTACCGATGTCAACCTTCAAGAAACTAGTGTACAAGATTGGGATGCGAAGGCTCAAGGATGTGAATTGATGCTCTCATCAGGGGGAGTTAATACGCGTTGTACTCTTTTTTTCTTACAAGGTTTTGTCCCACTGGGTTTTTCTTGCAAGTTTTTTAACGAGGCAATCAAAAGGTGTATTTCTAAACATGTTTACTCTTTTTCCTTCACTAGAATTTTTTATCCCATAGGGTTTTTTCCTAAAAGGTTTTAACGAGGCACATTATCTATGGACATCCAAGGGGGAGTGTTATAAGAAAAATCAAATTATGATGGATGTCTACTCTTTCTTCGTGATCTTCTCAAATGCTTAATGACATATTCAATGACATATTTCTATACTTAATGACATATTCAATGATATATTTTTCTTCACTTTTCATGCCTATATAAAGGACTTGTAATAGATAAAAAAATACACATATTTAAAGAAGAAATAAGAAACTCTATTCTCTTTCTCTCTATTTATCTCTTATCTTATTTTTCTTTGTTGTATATTGGTACTTTGAGTTATATTTTATTATATACAAAGATATTTAACCGATTCCCATTTTTTCTCCCATTATATATGGCAAAAGCCAAACCGAACAAGCGGAAAGGACAACAATCACATCACTCCCACTCCACCACATCTACCCATTAATTTCCAAATTTCCAAAAATCATCGAAAAAAGCATGGAGCTAACAGCACAGCAGCTGAAGGCATACGACGGTACAGATCCGTCAAAGCCAATCTACGTGGCAATCAAAGGTCGCATCTTTGACGTCACCGCCGGCAATTCCTTCTATGGTCCCGGCGGCGCCTACTGTATGTTCGCCGGAAAAGATGCAAGCAGAGCACTCGCAAAGATGAGTAAGAACGAAGAGGACGTTACCCCCTCGCTCGATGGCCTTTCTGAGAAAGAAATGGGGGTTCTCAACGATTGGGAGAAGAAATTCGAAGCTAAGTACCCAATCGTTGGCACTGTTATTTATTAATCTAATAAATGAAGTGGGTTTGGGGATCTGGGGTTTTTGTGCTATTATGAATAAATATAGGGTTTCCTTAGGATGGCTCATGGGTCTGTTTGTGTAATAGACAAAATTAACTTGTGACTTTTGTGCAATTACGAATAAATCTAAGGTTTTACTCTTGAGATCGTGCTGGGTATTTCTTATGGGTCTTTTTATTTATGATTGATGTGTATGCAGTTTGGGATTTGGAAAGCGGGATGCACAATGTTGTAACAATTTGTATTTGAAGTACAACTGATTTAGCATATGGTACAACACTATTTTGCTCTGGTGGAAGGACCATTATGTGGGGGCATGGGTTCTATAGAACGTGTGCTTTCCCTTATCTTCTTTAACATTTAAACTCTGCCTCTGTCTTAGCTTCTGCTTCAGACTACTTCCTCCCTCTTATTTTCACAGTAGATTTTATAGCCGGAATCTATTATCTTGCTGGTTTTTTCTTTTTTGAAAGTAAACTTGGCCGAAGGTCGTCTATTTTTCATCTCCTTGTGCCGAGTGTTTTTCGGAACAGCCGAGTAAGGTCCATGTACACAATACTCTTTCATACCCCACGTCCCACGTGTGATTATACTGCATTGTTGAAAGTAAACTTGGCACTTTTGGTCCCTTAATAATTAGGAGTTGCTGATTTTGTATTGAAAGAGCTAAACGTGAGAAAAGAAATCAACATATCTTCCCTCTATTAACTTGACGCATAGCAATCTAACTACTTGCTAATGCTTATTTATGCACTGAGTTTTTTTTAGGAATTTATCTGTTTTAAAACCAGATTTCCACGATTTTCCCTCTCAATGGTCCATTGGACACACGACGGGAGCTTTATACCATTTTTTTCTACTATATGAAACCATTTATGACTAGAGAACGATCGGTTATACTTGAAAGAATGTTAAGAAAGTAAAAACCGTAGTGTCTGATAAATAAGGATTTTAACAGTAAATATAACCCATCAAAACTTATTAATGCATTTTTTACGGTTTTTTCTATAACCGAGAAATCCTGAAATGTGTGCCTAATCCATACATGATACATCAGGTACAACGCTGTTAGCATTAGGCTAAAACCTTGGGGTTGCATTTCTCGCGAATCTGTCCAGTAAGTTACTGATTCCCAACTTTGTAATAAAAAAGTTGCACTTAGTTGGTACAAAACTTCGTTGCTTCCATCCACGAATGCTATTGCAACATCTTTTTCACCAAGCCAGCGAGTATGTGTCATCAAAATGGAAATAAATGCAGATGTTTTCATTTACTAGATCCAACCGGATTATTACAGTTGCTGATGATTTTCAAGTGGAAAGCATCATTTTTGTGGCAATGGATGTTCGTTTCACGCCCATGTTTCCAACTACAATGTATCACGCCCATGTTTCCAACCACGGGAAGCCTCTTTCTCAACATGTCACCTGCTACCACTTTAGATTTTACCAAACTCTAAAGTTCATTACACGTAATGTTGCACATTGATGCGGACCTCCCTTAGAAGCACAATATCAAATTCTTTAATCGGCTTATTTGCATACAAACTATGGCATATACCTATGTTGTATATTCTATTTCCTTTCTCTGGTAGTAGGTAAATTCTTAGTAAATATGTGTCTCTATGTATTTAGAGATCTTTCAGGAAACTAATTTTCCTGCAAGGATGCTACTTGGAGCATGTGACTTTTGGTCAGTTGACCAGTTATTAGCTTAATATAAGAACATGATCACGGGAAGGACAAAAAGAAACAAATATGTTCCACTAATTATGAATCACGCTAATCAGTTAGTCAAAGCTATCCACAAATATCTCCATCTTCAAGAAACTGAAGTTCTCCGAGGGGTACATTCTCTAGTCCAATAGTAGTGTACACATCCTATAAAAGAATTTAGCTCACTCCACGTATATAATAGCCGATTGACGTCAGCAAGAATGTCAATGGTACCTGGGGATGAAACAGGATGTTTCCATTTTCGAGTTATGGTATGCTCCAATAAAAACGAATGGAATAGTTGTCCTAGCAAGACGAGACAGAATGACATCTTTCCTGTTCAAGCCAATGAGCACACTTTGTCTGGAAAAAAGAGAGTTCCGAGATGTTAGCACACTGAATACAAAGGTCAACATTTAATAACATAAAATCACTTGACTTAGAAAGAGGAGAATATATACAAAAGAGAAGGGGAAAGGAGTAATTTTGGTTTCCGCCCTTTCTTCTCATAGGATCCTTTTACTATCCCTTATACAGTAAAAATAGTCGTTGTTGAGCTCCTCGCTTTCTGCTTTCGTGATTTTTTCTCCATTTCCCTCAATTGTATCTAGGGTTTCATGCACACTCAGTCAACAAAAAACATTGATCAAGAATACTCTCCAGGGATCACAAGCCAAAAGACTTAACAACAACAACAACAATTACGCCCAAACAAGGTCCGAATCCTCACTTCTTTCTTTAAGCTTAACTCATATCATCGCCATACCAAATAAAGAAAGTGAACGTGAAACAAGCCAAAGGACTTCTTAACCTGGTTAAAATCAGCACAAATAAGACTAACTGTTTACCTTGTCCGGAGGTGCTACAGCATAGGCGGCTGTCATCTATGTAAGTTGTCTGAAGACCCATCATCCATGATCCAATTGATGTATCTTCATGCGCATAACTCTTCAAGGAAGCACTGCATACGGAAAAATAACACACTTAGAAACAGATACAAGACCAGAATCAGTGATGTCAGTTTCTTCAACGCAATACATCAAAAAAGAGGAAGAACAACTTATCCAAGAATTTCAATAAGGCAAATGATATCAAATGCTCTTAAGCTATTTAAAAGTCTCGGTAAAGCCCTTCCACTATCGTTTTGGCATGATTAAATATTCAGAGTCTTAGCTAGGCCTTCTACGATTTTAGTCCTTAAATTCCTCTTCCGGTGTCTTCTGTTATCGACCGTTAGTAATGCTAAATATAAGGGTATTTTTCACTTTTCTTGTGCTGGTGGAGTAATTCCAATATTTCCATCCACATTCTAGTGAACCTTCAATTAAAGTCAAATACGCCTTTTAAGTTGAATTAGTCTTATCTAGGCCATATATATGTCAGTTAACTCCACCTAACCACTACCATAAAATTGGCCTTTAAAACGGGAGAAAAAAGCAATAGTTTGGAGATCCGGTGCAAATCTTATGTCCTTCACTGTTGGTGTAAGAGGGTTAAAATAGTACATCTAACAAGTTATTTCTGACAAAACCAGAACAGGTTAAACATGTATGGCTAACCTTTTTTTTCAAATAACAATAGCTAACCTGTTTATGTTAATATACTGAGCCAAATTTTTGGAAAGCACCAGAACCGAACCAGCTGCATGCCGGAAGTACCTGAAAAGAAATCCATATCATTCTAGAGTAGAGAGGAGTGACGGGCCAAGAAATTCACCCAGGTACATCAAGAACGTGGACAATTGAAAATTTGGCCCAAACCATCAGTTAAGAATTTCATTTGGAAAGACAAATCCAAGCACTCTCATATGCGCACGTACCAAAAATACCCAAAAGCACAGAAAATGCAAAAAGCAACTTAACATGCTGCAAACATTAGCGAATTAATGTTAACCCTTTTCATTGAGGAATTCTTCAACTAAATAATCTAACTAGACGTAAGATATAATAAATTACTCCTCCATCCCAGTTTATGTGATGAAATTTGACTAGGCACGGAGTTTAAGAAAGAAAGAAAGACTTTTGAAACTTGTAGTCTAAAACAAGTCAGAGATATTTGTGTGGCTATATATCATCTCATTAAGGGTAAAATGGTAGGTTTAAAATTAAATTATTTCTAAATATAATAAGGTATCATTCATTTTGATACAGACTAAAAAGGAAAGTGCATCACATAAATAGGGACAGACAGAGTTGGTTTTTACAAGCAGTTCCAGATCTGCCACTTCATAGTAAGATAGATCGATAACATTTACTAAAACAATATCTGCAAAACCTTGTACATAGGCTTGATAGCTGCATCCATGACACTTGAAGACCTAATTCAACCGAAGTCAACCAAGTGAAAACTGAAAAGCATTCTAACCAAATCATCTTACAACTAAAATTACTATGCATACTTTTAGATGTGAGAGAATATAGACCTGGTTTATTACCGATAAATAGACTTAACAGTCATTTGGACATATAAACATAAGCTTATAGAAAAGCCAGAGTACCTCATGCAGCAATAAGGAGGCATCACTTTCTTAGGACTCAGTAATACTTACGATTTCTCATCTCCGAATTTCCACCATTCTGGCTCATACCATGCCCTTCCCCTGGAAAAGGGAAAAGGTGAAATATTAATGCTTGTATACATGATCTTAAGCTGAGTTAAATCTGAATGAATTTTTTTTATTTTTTTTTTTATGAAGGGAATTTCATTAAATGGCATCAAGAAGATGCATAGCAAAAATTTAATGAATTTCATTAAATTTCATTCATTTTTGCTATGAATGAAAATCTTACTCTTCTGCAACTACTTCTCCAGATTTCATGCATCCAATGTAAGAACTATTTTGACCATGGCGGTTTTGAAGGAGCTCAATCAACCCATCTGATAGAATAAAGATAAATAGAATGTTAAAAAAGCTCAAATCTAGGGGCACATAGATCATAATTCTAGAGGACGGATAAGCAAGCATTTTACCAAGGTCAACATCAATGTTGTCATCAACTTTCACATAAAACTCTGCGTCCCAATTTTGTATTGCTGAACTAAAGAAATATTTAGCTTTCTTGGGCAACTCCTCCTGAGCTTCCTCATGACTTTCCTTTTAAATAATTGGAAAAATATAGATAAGCAAAAGTAAGCTGCATATGGAACAAGTTGAAACAAAGTAAACAAAAAATTAGGAGAATGCGTGCAGGCTAAGCTCTAACGATTATTTACACATATGATCATTATTATTAATATGCATTTTTGCAACCAACATGTCTATACTCTATACAGCAACAGTTTGTATAGAGCCTAACTCAAATTATGCCGCAAAAAAAATACAGATAGGTCAGACAAAAATGACGATAACCAAACTTACTAGAATCAAGAAATCTTTTGTTTCTCGGTTCTCCTCATTAATATTGCGGTCCAAGCTATCGCCACGGTTGGGACTGCCAAGTTCAAGTAATCCAGAGATGAATAAAGCCACTAAAATTTCAAATCTATATTTCCATTTTTTAGTATGCAGCACAAACCTCCGACCAATTACAAATCGCACAACCACTCCTCTTTCTTCAAGTTTCGACAAAGCATCAACTGTCATAGAAAAGAAAATATTAGATGTATCAGATGCACCAGCAAGACCAGAATTTTAAAATGAAAATGTCCAAAGTTGCCTTTATACTATCTGAAATTGCTCAATTTTGCCTTCTGTTACACTTTTGGTCCATTCATACCCCTTGCCATTAAGAGAGGTACAGCGGGAGATGCGTGGACTCCGTGCATATAGGAAAAAGGTCAATATTCACCTCTCAACCTTTGACTATGGTTTAAAAGTACCCTCATATAGAAGCTCCGATATGCGTCAAGGTCATAAACTAGACTTTTCCTAATGGCGGGGGTAATAGTAGACCAAAAGTCTAACAGAGACAAAGTTACTCAATTTTAGGTAGTACAAGACAAATTTGGCCCTTTTCCCTTTTTAAAATAAAAAATCTGATCAATGTTGCGAAGGTTGTGGCAGCCAGGTCAGAACTTGTAACCATGAAACTACACACATCTTTCAACAAAAAAAAAAAGGAAGTTTTATTACTTCTAACTAACATCAGAAAGCTCTGTATCATATTTTGATCAACAGGTGAAAACTTCAAGAACGGTTTTAAAGCAAATAGACTAACAGTCAAACTATAACTGATCCGGTAACATGTGAAATTTGCGAGCAACCAACCCATGCCTCCAAGATAAGTTTCATCGTAAAAGAAAATAAACACAACCACGATATTTTCATAATTATTACTCCCTCCGTTTCAATTTATATGACACACTTTGTTTCGGCACAGAGTTTAGAAAAAAAAAGACTTTTGAAACTTGTGATCTTTAAAGGATAAAGGGTAAAAACATTTTGGAACCATAACATCTGTGTGACTATAAAGCTTCTCATCAAGGGTAAAATAGGTAAAATACAAAGTTTAAAGTTAAATTGTTTCCAAACATAGAAATGTGTAATTCTTTTTTGAACGAACTAATAAGGAAAGTGTGTCATATAAATTGAAATGGAAGAAGTAATTGTTGTCATCAGCTTCAAAAGAGAGAGTGCCCAATTTCAGCCAATCCAAATGTTTCTAGCTCAAAATCCACTTGCGTCAGTTAGACCAATAACTCCATCCGTCACAGCATTTTTAAAAGCGAAGAGCGCAATAAAACGTGTGGGGCTTGAAACAAAAAGCGAGATGTGAAGGATACGCTTCTGTGAAGAACATTGATGAATTTAGTACAATAAAAATTGAACTTCACTTCATGTAAAATGACTAATTTCAGCATACAATATACAATAATGCCCAAGTTAATCCAACTCCTCAAAGTTGAGATTCAAAGAAGCGACTTTGTGCGTCATTGTTTGAAGGGCACACTACCCATCACTTTATATCATTGCAATGCTTTAGGCGATGGAATGGTTTTAAATAACACTGATCTATCATGATATCATGTCATTGAAACAAAGATAACTACACTTGAAAACTTGAAATAAGAACATTTCCATCTTTGCCCGGCCAGTCAAACCATCTTCCATTACTTATCAAAAGGCATTTATTGGAGGTTCTGAACGCATAGAACTGTGCACATTTTCACCACTTAAACAATGCACAGATAGACATCAAATAGACTAATATCACTAATTTGGTAAGGTGACTATTTTATTGATGTTGGGGAAATCCCTATATAAAGGCAGTTATTCAAGAAGTAGAGAACCTACAATAAAGTATGGTTCTCTACAAAAGTCACCCAACCCAATAATATATACAAGTAGGGACCTCATGGATGAACCAAAAAGAAACTAAGACGAGGCTATTCCTCAAATGTACATAGTCATTCTCAACCCCTTAAAACGGTATCCTATTTCTCTCCTTCCATATAACCCACATAAGAGCTAGGGGAGCAACGTCCCATGCGATGGGTCTTCTCTTCCTTCTCCGGGAAGCCCAGCTAAAATGGACTAATATCACAATAACAAGCTATGAAAATTTTGAACACACTGAATCCGCTAACAAGTTCTAATCTGTATTTTTACTTTCAGTGTGGCAGCTTCACAGTTACATTAATCCCTAAGAAGTTAGATCATAACACAACAATGAGAGATCATTACACATATATTTGAGGAAATATAGAAAATCCATGCCCCAAACGAAATGAGTAGAGACGGACCATTTGGCAACCAAGACCCTCTGATCACATTTCTCCTCAATCTACCTCCGAATCCCGTATAGATTCCTATAACAGCCAGAAGTTGTTTGCCCGAAGATGAACCACTATGCTTCAACTGATTCTTGAGGTAACCTTGACTCTTAGCCACTGTTAATTCCATTTCGACTTCAACTATTCTCCTCTCCAGTTCCCTGGAAATATCTAGATTAGCTCAATTGCAATTGTCCGCACATGCTCGTATATGCACTTATGCTAAGACAAAAGAAAAAAGGAATCTGAAAAACGTACTTGCATCCTAAAACCATTAGCTTGTCTTCAACTGTCAGCATCTTTGGTCTCTGCCATATGTATCCAATGCAATATTAGGATTTAGGAAGAAAGAACCGGGTTAAAGAACTAGCTAAAGTAAGTAATATCAGATGCTTTGAACCTCAGACAAGTGTTGAAGCCAACTCCATTAGAAATTGTGAACCAGCATTAGCATAGGCAGTTTAAAACCAGCATGTCACACTTTGCAAGTAAACTACTGCATAGACTTGTTCGTGGGCGTGGCACTATTATAACTGAGTCAATAATCCAATATTTGAGCCACTGATTAGACCATTATTAGTATCTCATGAACATGTAAGGAAATACTTCTCCCGTCTAGGAAACATTGCCCTTTATCAATCATCGTGTAATTTCCAGAGCATTTCCAAGTTCAGTAACAATGGGGCATTATCTCTCACTAGGACATCTAAATAGCACTTTACATTTCACAATGTTCACAGGCTTTCCTTTCCCAAATTTCTCGTAGCACAAAGAACTACTTATGTCTTGATCTATATAACACTATTACTATTTGGAGAGTCAAATGGTTAGTTTTTCGACTACAGTTTTCAAACATTTGTTTTATTTTTTAAGAAGTTTCTAAAATTTTCTAGTTAACAAAAGATTGTAATTCGCAGTAATTTTAATGCAGTTTCTAAAAATGTAAACTTTATTTCACAAATCAAGTGAAATATATCCAAAATTCACCAGAAATTAGATGTTTTAACCTCGTAATCCAAATCATCGAGTGCAAAATAAAACTATGTATAGAAAAGAAGAACAAAACCTGCTCTGAGTAATCCAAATCATCGAGTGCAAAATAAAACTATGTATAGAAAAGAAGAACAAAACCTGCTCTGAGTTCTTCTTCAAAAGACTACCTAATACCATTCTGTACTCTGCATCTTGCCATAACCTAAAAACAATAATCCCAACACATAAAACTTTATATATATAAAAAATTAATCAAAACATAAATTAATAAAATTAACACATTAGAGAGTATGCCTAAAAATAAAACAAGAAAATAAACATAAAAGCGGACCTTCCGGCGACATATAACCAAGCGAAGCAAGAGATTAATGCCATTACTAGAGAAGGTTTAGATGTTTGACTAGACTTTGATTTTGACCGCCTTTCCGATTTTGACGACGACGAAAACGACGTCGTTGGCAAGATGCTTTCCATGTCTTCCCAATTTGTGTACTGTGAAAACAAAACTGGAGAAGACAACTTAGCGAAAACGCTCGATCAAATTGAGAGCATTCGTAGATTGTGGAATATTCTGGATGATTCGGAAAGTAATCAGTGTAAATAACGGAGATCTCAAAGGTAAATCTCCCTTGAAATTGAAACTTCGATCGATTGATTGATTTGAAAAATGAGTTTTGGAGTTTTCCAGCAGAGCGGTTACTTCAAAGGACAGGGAAGTAAAAGAAAATTTGTGTTTAAGGTTCACTTTAGCCCGTCTATTTTCATATTCACTCACTTTGCCCCTTGCTAGATTAAGGCGTTTGAACATTAAAAAAAAATGTAATTTTTAGAAGAAAAAAGGTAGTATTTGGATTTTGGAGTTAAGTTGAAAAATATTATTTGAAATTACATTTGGATATATATTTCACTTGAAAAAATATTGCAGTTTTATGAGTGGGAAAAAAAATATCTGATTTCTTTTAAAAAAAAGTAATTTTGAAAAACTCATTTTCAAATTTTTTTTTCAAGAACTTGCAAAATTTTATGGACAAACACGTTTTTTTTTTAAAATCGAAAAAAGAAAAAAAATCATGGACAAATGGGTCCTACTTTAGGAGCTTTTTTTCCTTCTCAATTTATGTAGGAACTTTCCAAAAATCAGTTGTTGATTCACAGTTCCATGCGGTTTTTAATTGGCCAAATATCTAGACGATCACTTAAACTTGACTTCAATTTCTATTTTGGCACTTTAACTCACACTAGTTCCAATTGAACACTCCAACTTCAATAATGTATACATAATAAACACCCCATGTAAAATACCTAAGTAAATTCAGTCGCGTGAACTGAACGCACAACAACGTGGCAAAATGGACGAACCAAAAAATGCCATATGGCTTTTGAAGATAAAAAAAAAGTGCTATGAGAAAACCCAAAAAAAGAAGGAAACAAAATAAAAGAAAAACAAGATAGCAAAATAATTTCTGTAACTCCATTGCAGCCGCTATCATGTCCCCAATCTTTCAATCTCTACCACCCTCACAATTTTAAGATTCCCCAGAACATTCTTTTTCAGACCCTGTTTCCTTCCATGGCTCCCAGCCCCCACGATTTTCAAACTTTTTTCTATCGGCCTTCGCTGCACCACCTCCCCCTATCACAACCACGTCTTCCTCTTGCCAGACCCACCTTTATCTTTCTCCCACCCACCTCACATGACTGTTAGATCCTTCTATCAGTATAATCGACAACTATTTTTTAATCTAACCAAAAAGAATAAATAGAAAAATGAAGAATGAATTGAAAATTGGTAAGTAAATAAGCTCTAAACCCAGATCTTGAGGAGAAGGCCATAAGAATTTTGAAAAAGAATATGAGAATAGTGAAATGCAAAAGGAAAGAGGATGATCTTGGCCATGATAGTTAAACTTTGGAACATACCGGAATTCTCATTACCGGCGAACACTAGTTTGGGCGCTGACGTTATTCTGTTCAGGTAATGCCAGGAGCAATTTTTTTTCTATTTTATTTGATGTTCTTTGTGTTAGATTAGAAAATTATTGCTATTATTATAATTGATTAGTGAATTATTTAAGGTGTACCAGTGGAGCAGTGATTGTAAGAAGAGAGAAGGGAGAAAGGAAAGGTTGATTTTGTGGCATGAGAGATGAGGAATAAAAAGAAAAAAAAGATATGCCTTTTTGAAAAAGAAAAGGAAAAAAATCTAATTTGAAACTCATTCACGCGCGATGAAGAATACTGGTTTTGCCACATCAGTATTTGTATATAATGGGTATATTTTTATTGAAGTTGGAGTGTTCAATTAGTACTAGTATGAGTTGAAATGACAAAATGAAAATTGGAGCCAAGTTTATGTAGTTGTCTGGGTATTTGGCCTTTTTAATTTGTTCATGTCATATAGGCCCGAGTTGGACATCCAATTGCTTCAATTTGAATTATCTGAAGAATGCAATGCCTCATATATATATATAAAAAAAAAAAGATGGACAATCAAACATATTTCTCGATTCACTCAAAGAGGTGAATAGGGTCCCAATAGAGATATGTAAAAAGCAGGTCCGATTACGCATATTCCTAATCCTAAATAGAATGTAATGATGTGGGATCCATATATAAACATAGTATCTATTTAGATAGACCCGAATGACCCCTTCTCAGAATGAGAATGTATATAACCCTATTCCGGCCTAGTCCGGTATGGAATAAACTTATAATTATGAAATCGACTCGATCATCAGATTATAAGTTCATAACCCTAGTCCATTCCCATTTTGGGCGGAACAGATCTATAAGGAGATTTTTTGTTTTAAAAAAAATTTGACATATAAATATTTTCTTTTGTATAAATATTTTAAATCTGGTACATGTGAAACTAATTAAGAGTTGTTCATTCAAACGATAAGTGAATATGAAATTCTATACATTAAATTTGCAAATTGATCACTAAGACTGCTTTTTTTGATAATTATTTATACCAAACTTAATAAAAGTATAAATATATAAAAAACAATCTTTAGCATTGTGATAAGGATCTAAAAGGTTGGATAGTATTTTTTTTCACAAACATCAAGCTATGAGTTGCATCAAGGCAATATATCGTTGGTTGAGCTTAAATTGAAACTAAAAGTCATTACATGCATCCAATAAAATGAATGTTATTTATCAAGTAGAACTTTAGCCTAGCTCATACTAAGGGATACTGAAAACGCACTGAATCTCTTAATGTGATTGTTCAGCAGATATGGAATTTGTTTGTTTTATACTTTTATTTCACAACCTAACAAGATATTACTAATAATTTATTTTTCTTCCTTTTGCGCATGAAAGAAGCAAGAGATAGACTAAAATCTATCTCTCAAACTTGTCAAACCTAGAGGTTAGCTTGGAAGCCTGTCTATTAGAGTGTATAGCATTAGTTATTTATGGGTGGTTTGGTAGGAGGTATTAAAAAAAATAATGCAAGCATTAGCTGTATGCATTACTAATACCTTATTTGGTATATTTTTTCAACCTGTGTATAACTAATACTTGTATTAATTATACATCATACTTGGTATTATCCTATGTATAAGTAATGCATAGAAAACCATGACATTAGTAATACCAAGGCTACTAATGCATGCATTAGGTTGGTTAAAGACAAAATTATCCTTAAAGTCCCTTAAAACTTAAGAATATGGAGGGCATTTTTGCAAACAACTATTTTTCTTAAAAATTATGCAATGCATTATAGTTTTAATACATCACACCAAACAATAGATAAGAAATAATATTTGCATAACTAATACTTGCATTACTAACACATGCATTACTAATCCATGCATTACTAATACACATTATTCCGCACAATTCTTATACACCCTACCAAACGACCCCTTATTAAGTTTAGAGTATGGTAGTCTATCAATCTTATAATATTCCAAATATGCACGTTTTCTCTCACGTAGTTCTCGAGGTTGGCAATGGTGCCTTAACCAAATTCTAAAATAAAAAGACTTGGTAAATTCAATATTTGCATTGGCATAACCTATTTTGTATAATCATCACTTACTTTTGAAATGAAACCTTGATGAATAATGTATATAATCTACACATTTTATCAACTAGTAGTTTAAGTCTTTTTCCATTCACTTTATAGAGCTTTTCCACAAACTAACTGAAATTCTAGCTTGATAGTTGAAACTTTTCCCCTTTTCTCTAGGGCTTACCCCTCCCCAATTGCCCCTCCCCAATTGCATTTGCCGGACTTTTTATGGCGGATCAGCTTATGTACAGCGGATCAGCTTATGTACACATTAACTATTCCACGGAATACCTATTATCTCTCGCCGGTACAAAAGTACGAGGCCCCACCAAATATTACAACATTGTTCATAACAATCTACTTTAAAACTCAAGTTTCTTGAGATCTATTATGCCCACCATGTATCCAAACTGCAGCCAAACACAACTAGAAAGCTAGAGCGCAGCATAAGCATACTGCATATATAAAGATACTAATACTTCAACATACAATGAACTCAGGACTTGATTACATGGTATTAAATCCAAGGCTGTTTTAAACACACCATACACCAACCAAATACTAAAAACTTCCTCGGGTAATCCACATCATTGCCTAATAACACTGACTAAAAAATATTGGTTTCTAACCAGAGGAAACAAAGGGTCTTTAAGATTAACAGTTGAACTAATTATGGTCATTAGAGACTTTCGACAGCAGGAGATGAATTGTCGGAACTAGAATTTTACATCATTTCAACTTTTCCATAAAATGGCAGCAGATGTATTCCGCTTATCAATGTAAAGCTTCAATGTTCTTAATATAGTCACTAGTTGCTCCTTTGGGCCCCAGGTAACAAGCTTGAAAGACTGGGAACTCCTTGGCTTCTCATTTCCTCTTGTGCTTTTCTAATTTCTTCGGGATCTGCAACATAAAAACAAGTGCAATCAGCAGAGTCGCAAAAGACACTTTACGTGTTGTCAGTCTTCTCTGAGAATGGATTGGAAACTACACAAGTATCAAAACGTAAAGCAGCTTCCGGAAATGTTTCCTGCACATATCAGTCACTACTTTTTCGGCTGCGCAGAAGTATAACTATGATACAACAGTTAGTGGTGGATTGGCAAAAAAGAAGTATTCAGTCATTTATAGTCCTTGATATGGTAACAATGACAACTGGTGGCTGAACGACACCTATGAGTTTTTTGCTGATTCAGAAGGTCGAAAGTGTGAGTAGGAAAGACATTATAGGTTCGCCAAAAGAAACGTCTAGCTCTTAGTGCATCAATATACTGCAAACAGTGCATACCAATTTGATAGATTTCCACTGATCAGAAAGGATTAAAAGAGTTGGATCGAAAGAGATGAATTATGAGCATAAATAAAATTCATCCACCTTTTAAGCATGATAATAGATGGACAAATTTTTAAATTGAGAAAATATTTGACCGAAAAGAAATAGGTATAGTGCTTTTTACTTTATCTCCCGTCTACATGCCTCCATGACCACCTTCTACATGTCTCCTTGTTCCTTTAATTTCGTTCCGTTCACACAATACTAAACTCTAGTTTCGTCACATCTCATATTGAGCAGAAGTCGTACTAGAAAAACCTTAAAGCCATCAGTTACTGGAGAACCAAAAGATAAAAAATGTGTGCATGTGTGTGTGTGTGTGTGTGTGTGTGTGAGAGAGAGAGAGAGAGAGAGAGAGAGAGAGAGAGAGAGAGACGAATAACTCAATGCCGTCACACTTAATGAGCCTACTTTTCAAGCAGAACACTGAAGCATATACATAATCAGAAAAAGTTTTTTCCTTCACTGAGCAATAGCTGCTGGATTCCACGGTTTGGGATATCTGGAGCTGGGGTAAACCAGCAACAAAACACTAATTATGGAGGGGTCTGGCTATATAACGATTTAAATAAGTCTAGGGATATAATTCTTTCGCGAAATATGCAGCTGAGATGTGTTATTCTATCAGACGCATACAAAACGCCACAGATTTAAACAAATACTACACACACAGGTATCCAGAGATACATAGCAGGCACATGCTACCTATTAGATAGATATATAAACAACACGCAGTTGGTAATATGAGCAAACAAACAAATCCAAATGCAGGTAAATTGACGCATTTAGAAAGTCATTGTAAGCCAAAAAAACTTCAGAGACAGAAAGAGAAACAGAGCAAAATGTCCTGAGGCGGAGGGGGTCCAGGTTGGTTCGGTATAAGGGATGAAGAGCTGATGTTTCTTAAGGGAAATATGGCCACCCTTTCTGTTTTAAATTTGGATCTCCATCCTAAGTTTATAGTAGATGACTGAAAATGGATTAGTGGGATTCACGCTTCATTAGATTCACAATCCAATTCAATAGAAGATCAGATGCCGGTAGATAAATAGATGGATTTACATCATAATCACTGTGGGACGCCAACCGCTAGGAAACCACATAACGGTGCAGTCATCCAAAAACACAACAAACTAGCATTGCGGATGGAAAACTGGAAGTGACTTGTGGATTTGCCCCCCTACTGGATGTCCCCAAAAAAGGGCAGCCCGGTGCACTAAGCTCCACTATGCGTGGGTCCGAGAAAGGGCGGGACCATATTCGGTCTTATGTACGCAGCCTTACCTTGCATTTCTCCAAGAGGCTATTTCCGCGGCTTGAACCGGTGACCTCCTGGTCACACGTTTTACCGTTGCACCAAGGCTCCTCTTCACCTTACTGAATGTCAATGCAATTTAATTTTGACAATGGTAAAATAACAACATAGAGTACTCACCCATATTCTCTACTAATTTTGGCATCAAAAACATCACAACCAGCATGAATCCAACCATCAGACCCATTGGGCTTTTCACCAGAGACATAATGGAGAAGGGTTCCCTTATCTGCAAGAAATTTTCACATAGTAATTGGGAATCTAATAGAAAGGAGGAAAATGGAAAAAAAAGAGATACGAAAAAAGCTCGACCTCATAATATTGCTCATCTCCCAGTGGCTCCAAAACCAGCTCAATCAGGCTCCTCCGATTCTCAGTTAATGCAGCTTGAACCTTTCCAGGGTTTCTGGCACTGACATCAACTCGGACCTGAAGGCCAGAAGAAGGTTATTATCCTAAAACTCCTTGACAAAGAATTGGTGATGAACTAGGCAAATATCATGGGAAGAGAAGCTTACTGGAGAAAAGAAGTACCCAATCGCAGATACTTCTATGAGATGCGTCCCTGCTGGCACATTATGGCTTTTGAAGTCTAAAGTCAAAGAATTACTAAAATAACAGCATAATCTTCCCCGTGCTCTTTGCATACACCTAGTTTCAACAGTTAGCCTCAAGGTACTGAATATTATTTATTGACAACATATGAAGTAAAACAAAAGGCTCGAACATCATAGGATAATAACAAGAGAGCCGATAAAAGACAATAGATAAAAAGGTCTAATACCTGATAATGCTTAAACATATGGCTAGCAGCAAGCATGTGACAAACAACATGACACACCAATTTATGGATCACATGTTATTCATGGAATTAATCAAGGAAACTTATTGCCAAATAATTTTTTTATTTTTTTTGGATAAGATAAATAATTTTATTAACAATTGGGGACTAACCCTGTATACAAGCCGTATACCAAATAATATAATTAATCTTAGCATCTAGTGCTATAGCTAATCCATCTGCATAGCAATGCATGCTTCGAGTTTCACTCTTCCCTCCTTAGCCTGATTGTACTCTGACTTAATTTCAGTGATCATTCAGTTCCACCACATATCCAAAGAAGAATGGTGTCACGGGCCCATTTCCTTACATTGGGTAGCGGCACCTGCTCGCCCGTGCGGCGCCCGCGGACTCCCCATTCCGGCCGCGGGCCAGCCTTCCTATCCCGTCCCAGGATTTCCCAAGCACGATCCTGTGCCTGTCGGTTGGGCTCGCCCTCAGGCTCGCTCCAACCTGTGCCGCCCGTAAGATGCCTAGGCCCTTGGCCCTAGGCATGTCGTGGCGCTCCATCTTAGGATCACAATCCATGCGCGCCCTGGGGACTTGGCTTAGGACATGCCTTGTCCTTAGCCCAAGACTGAGCATC